GCCCGGCTGTGGGGTCGACGAAGGGACACAATAAAGCAGCTTCCAAAGACGTGCTGAGTCTGGCCTGTGTGTGTGGCGGGGGGGGGACACGGGACGGGTCGCGGGGGGGGGTCCTTGTCCACTCGGGGCCGGGTTTGACGCGGGTGGGGGGGGCAGTGGAGGACCGACCCTGCAGTTTCCCCTCCCGCCCGCCAGGGGGCGCCACTGCCCCCACCAGCGCGCCTCTCTCCCGCCGCCGCGTCGCGCCGTGATGACGTAAACGGCGGGGACGGGTCATGGCGGGCGAGCGGCGCCGACGCGGCGGGGAAGGACCCCGGGAAAGAACCCGGGAACGCGGGACCCGGCGGGAACGGGAAAAGGAACAACAACGGGGATCGAGCCGGGGACGAACAGCGCTGGTGATAGCGGCGGCGGCGGCTGCGGCGGCGTTGGCTCTGGGCCTGGCGGTGGCTGAATGGAAACGGTGGAACGCGGCCGCCCTCCTCGTTACCCCCCACCCCGCTCCCCCCGCTCTTCCCCCCGGTTCTACCGGGCCTCTCGCCTCGCCCCAACATTTCTGGGGCACTTACCGGCCTCACGTTTACTTCGGGATGAAGACACGCAGCCCACGGGCTCTCGTTACCGGTGAGGGATAGGGGCGGGAGCGGGGGCAGGCCGGAGAACCGAGGCTGAACCCCTGAACCCCCCCACTCCACCTCCCCGGTATCCCCAGGACTCATGTGGCTTCAGCAACGCGAAGGAGGCGGCAGCTTACGTCACACCTGCGAGCAGAGCGATGGTTTGTCGCGGTATGGCTGGTTGATGCACGACGGGGAAAATTTCGGGGTGCAGGAGATCCGTGATGAAGGATTGTTCTTGAAAACTGAATTCGTTAAACGACCGGGTGGGGAACACGGAGGGGATTGGAGTTGGCGCATCACCGCACGGATGGAGGTGAGGGGAAGAAGCGGAGGGGCCGCCCCTGATGGGAGAACGGCCAGGCAGCCCCCTTCCTCACGTCTCTCTCCTCTTCTTCCTCCACAGGGCACGGGCGGCCCGGCCCCGCTCCTCTCCCTCTTCTTCTACGTTGCCACGGACGAGCAGGGGACGCTGGAGCCGCACCTGGAGAACAGGACACGGCTGGGGGGGGGGG